TCTCTCTCTCTCTCTCTCTCTCTCTCTCTCTCTCTCTCTCTCTCTCTCTCTCTCTCTCTCTCTCTCTCGTATTTTCAGTTTTATGTGTATTATTTTATGCCTCATGCATTAGCCTAAAATTGGGTAGGATAATTAGTGATTCAGAGTATTTAGGGAAACAGGACAGTGTCCTAACATGCTCTATAAATAGGCCATCACTTTATATAAATGCAAGTATAAGTTACATAAACTCTAAAGAGTAATATCAAGCCTGAATGGCAGCAAGACAGAATTTTGCAGCTTTCATATGTCAGTTTAGGCTCTGTGTAGTAAGTAAGTAAGTAAGTAAGTAAGTAAGTAAGTAAGTAAGTAGTCAACATAAATAAAATTTGATTCATGGAATTTTACTGATTGCAGGCTAGAACAAAATATTACAAGTATTCTGCTAAAAGAAGGAGAATTGAAAAACTTGAGCTTCTATTACATCACCCAACAAGAGCAGATTCTTTCATATAATAATTATTTTCTAATGCCTGTCTTCTATAATTGATGAGGAAAGGACTGAATTCACAAAAATAAATACTCTGCAGAACTTCATTATATAGAGGTTATCGAAGTAATTTCACATGGTTCTTGAAGATTCTGTTGATATTAAATTCATGTAATTTCCATCATGATCTGATTGTTTATCCTTTTCTTAATGTTGCCTTACCTTCTTCATATCACACTGTAAGAGACATTTGAAATATATATTAAAATATGTATCACCTAATCTATTATATTATCACATTGTTCTCCAATCGATTCATGTTTAATTTTGATATTGATCCAGGAAAAAAATATAATGATATCCTCGGGGTGGGGGGTGGTGGTAGAGAGGGAGGGAAGATGTGGAAGCAATAGCCATTAGGGTAAATAATGGCATGAGCCTGATTGGGCAGTCCTGACACTTGAAATTTCAAAGGAAAATAAACTATCATAACCGTGTGCCTTCAAGCTCACTTTGGTTGAGGATATGTTGTGCATCAGGGTGGACAATTCATCCTTCCATCAGTCCGTCCGTCCATCCATCCATCCATCCATCCATCCATCCATCTTCTCTGGTATCTCTAACTTTTTGCAATTAACAAGAGTCAAAAGTAATTAATAGCACACCTTTTTACAGTTCTTCTTACTCAAATAACATGGACTTAAAGTTGGCAGACTATCAGTTGGAATATTTCATCTGGACTGAATCTCACAGGATTTTGGTAATCTCACTCAAAAGACATAATATTCTCAGTTTAAATCTCACAATATTCCTTTCGGCATCAAAATTTCATGAGATCTTGTAATCTTGCTGTGAACATCGAAATAGTTTAATATTAACATTTGGTGGTTGAATGTATTAGATCATGTATGCCATTATGTTGCTGTTGTTATATACACATCAATCTGAAATCACATGCGCATATTTTCTAAGTGCTTTCCAGGATTTTTTTGTTATTGTTATTACCATACTGCCAATTTCTGGTTGATTAGGCATCCCTAAAAAGCTTTCAATGATAAAGAATTGTTCTACAAAATGGAAAAGATTGGAGATTGCTGCTACAGATGATGACCACACCACTTCCCCATCTTCCATTCCCAATCTACCCCCTCCTCTTCTCTCAGCCATTCTTTGTAATCCACACTGGTCATTCCTTTTCATAATTATTTTACCAGCTGCTTGTTTAGGCATTAAAAAGCAGTTTCCATTCAGACTAATGTAATATTTTATTCTGCCTTGATCCAATTGTCTTAATTAAATAGAATTTTCTGAGAAAGCGTAATTAGCAGTCTTACAGTAGATACAATGTAGGCAATTCTTAATATAAAGAGAAACAGCGATCTACACTCAGTCCTGCTTGATACTTGCTCTTTCTTTCTCCTATTTCTATTCACTTTATTATACAGGGTATATCATGGGAAACATAAAAGTAAGTTGAATGTAGTAGAAAGAGATTACTTATAAAGTGTTCAGTAAAAGCAGATAAGATTAATTAAAGTGTGTAAAACACAAAAGTTAAATAGCAACAAAAATGTGTTGAGGTGATTTGGTCAGAGAGAGCAAAATGTCAACGCTGCAAATACTGTATATTCTTGCTTTGACAATGTGCAGAACTGTCTGGTATATATATAGTTAAACCAGCAACTAGGAAAGAGGGAGGAGCATAAGGATAGCCCGGGAGAAAGAAACCAGAAGTAAATCACATCTTTGTTCAACTAACCTTCTACACTTGGTACTGGGATGTTATTCCCTCACCTGTTACACTGGAATGCTAGGCGTCACGGAAGAGAAGCAGTTCTAAGCATTCCTCCATGCCGTGCTGATGTACTTTAACATTAATAAAAGCTTTTAGGAGAAAACATGCCTGAAAGTCCTTTTAAGTGTTTCGTTACTCAGACACATGACACAAAATATACAGATAATTTGGAAATACAATACAAATAGAAATAATTATCTATAAAGCAACTTAATCCAAAGCTGTCTAAATAATAGCAATGATTTTAGGCTTACATACCACCTCATAGCGCTTTACAGCATTTTCTGGGAGGCTTACAATGTAGAAGCATTATTCACATATTGCCTCCAACAATCTGGGTCCTCATTTACTGACCTCAGAAGGATGGAAGCCTGAATCAACCTTGAGCCCCATCAGGATTGAACTACAGGCTGTGGGAAGAGTTTGCCTGTAATACTGCACTTTAAGTATTGAGCCACCAGGGCTCTAAAATTAATATTAATTTTCTAATTCTTAAAGTTTTATTAGTTTATAATACACGATACAATGTAAATGCAAAAGTAAATAGTGGAAAAAATGGAATAGAGAAGTGAAGTAAGGGAGAAAAAAAGAAAAAAATGACATTGACTTCTGACTTCATTTGGTGCAGTAGAGCAGAGCTTCCCAACGTTTCCGGGTTGGCGGCCCGGAGGGAAAGGGAGGAGCAGAGAAATGTGCATGTGCGCGCCCCCGCGGTACATGACCAAGCAGGTGCATGCATGGTGGGGTGCTAGCGCCCATGTGTATGCACAAGCAGGCCGCACACACCTGTGGGGTCCATGCTGGCATCCACGTGCATGTGCAAACGGCAGCGCTAGCACGAGTGGGAGGTGCATGCACACATGCGCACACTCGCCAGCCATTCCTGGGGCCTGGTGGCCAATAGGCCACAGCCTTGTACCGGGCCATGGCCCATAGGTTGGAGACCCCTGCAGTAGAGTATCAAATTCAAACCTCAACTTTTTACTTTTACAAAATAATATAAACTAGTCAGTATGGGTTTGTTAAAAACAGATCAGTGCAAACAAACTTTATTGCCTTCTTTGATAAAATGACTAATTACTGGATCAAGGAAATGCTGTAGATATAGGATACTTAAACTTCAGTAAGGCATTTGACAAAGTAGATCACAGCCTTTGGGTAAGATAGAACAATATAGAATAAACAGTACCATCTCCAGATGGATTTGCAGTTGGCTGACCAATCACACTCAGCATGTAGCCCTCAATGGAACTACATCTACATAGTGTAGACTTGCATCTACATCTACATCCAGTGGAACAGCTTGACTCCAGAAATCGTGAGCGCTCCATCATTGGAGATTTTTAAGAAGAGTCTAGACAGTCACTTGTCTGAGATGGTATAGGTTCTCCTGCTCGAGCAGAGGGCTGGACTAGAACACCTCCAAGGTCCCTTCCAGCTCTGTTCTATTCTATTCTATTCTATTCTATTCTATTCTATTCTATTCTATCTACATCTAATGCAACGGTTCCCAACCTTTGCGGTTTGGTGGCCTGGCTTGTGGGGCAGAGGGGCCATGCAAGTGGTGGCCTTGTGCACATGTGTGCACACGTGCACGCACCCAACTCCACTCACACAAGAGAGAAGAGAAGCCTTTGGGGTGCAGTTTTGCACTCCTTCAGACTTCTTCACACCAAAAGCTTTTGCAAAGGGATGGAAGGCCTGAAGCAGTGCAAGATCACTCCCCCAAAGCCTTTCATCCGTTTGCAAAAGCTTTTGGCATGGAGATAAGAAGTCTTTGTGGGTACAATCTAGTGGTCCTTCAGACTCACTGAGGCTGCCTGATGCTCCAAAAGCAGATCAGATGTCCTGTACAGGCAGCCTTGATGAGTCAGTGAAGCTGACCAGGGGGCACTCATCCCACTCAACCTCTGCTCACCGCTCCACTTTTGGAGCATTGGGAGCAGACGGCTTTGCAGCCTGGCTGGGGAGCAAGAGGGGAACCAGCTGCACAAGTGGTGGACTGATACACACACATGCACAGCTTCACTTGCAGAAGAGAGAAGAGAAGCCTTTGGGGTGCTACTTGCGTGAGTAGAGCTACGCGCACACACCAGCCCACCTCTCATGCAGCCTGGTTACAAATAGGCCACAGCCTGGTAGTGAGCCATGGCCCAGGGTTTGGGGACCCCTGACACCACTTAAGTATAAGCCAGCATTGTGCTGCAGCTGCCAAAAAAGCCAATGCAGTCCTAGAGGACTAACGTCAAAATCATGAGAAATGATAGTACTGCTCTTTACTACACTAGTCAGGCCACATTTGGAATACTGCATCCAGTTCTGGTTACCATAATACAAACAAACAAACAAACAAATAAATGCTGAGACTCTAGAAAGAATGCAGAGAAAAGCAACAAAAATGATAAAGGGTCTGGAGGCTAAACCATACAACGAATAGTTAAGGGAACTAGGTATGGCTAGCCTAACAAAGAGAAAGATTAGAATGGCATGCTAGCTGTCTTCCAGTACTTGAGGAGCAGTCACAGAGATGAGGGATTCACTTATTCTCCCAAGCACCTGAGGGCAGGACAAGAAGCAATGGGTGGAAGCTTGTTAAACGATCTAGAGGTAAAAAGAAAATTTCTGACAGTGAGAACAATTAATCAATGGAACAGCTTGCTTCCCAGAGTTGTAGGTGCTCCATCACTGG